CTCGCCCATACGTACTTTTCGGAACCGCCGGGACCCCAATCACGATGGATCTTCTCGAGGAACTAGTTAGGTAACGATTCTGTATTATTTCGTAAGGAACATTCACTGAGTCTTGAGAATCTAGGTTTCTCCTCCCAGGCGCGTTTATCGATGTTCAATTTGCCTTGCCTGTTGGGCACCACAAGATCACAGAAAATCCCGAAGTTTTTTGGGTCGTGGACATGATGAAAGCTGCCGGACTGGAAATCTCCCACGGAAAAGAATTTCCTGGCTCGATTGAATTGGAGCTTGTAGAGGAGATAGGCCAAGGGAGAATGGATGACTGGGATGGCATAACCGGAGAAAGATCATTAGGTTTGCCTGAAGTACTTGAGCATTACGGTCTGTGGAGAGACGCCCTCGAAGCCACAATGTACGTCAGCTCTCATTGACTTGGGGCACGAAACTAATCAAGGCAGGTATGTCATCCGAGGTCACAAGCCGAGAGAACATGGCCGCAGGGCAAGAAGGATCGCGGAACGAGTTTCGAATCGAAAGACGAGACGGACTCGGCGGCTACGGCAATGGAACTGAGGCAACCAATCGACCGTTTGACTTCAGTACACCAGCTGGACTGTAGCAGCTTTCGCAGGGGGGAACATAGAATGCAACATGCACAAAGGACATCCGGGACACGTAAACCATATCTTGAGCATGAATGTATACATAGGTACCGAATATATCTTTGCGCTACTTCCTGCGGCCTCGGCAGGTGATGAGGAATTCAGTCAACGACTGAAGGTGCAAGAGACAACGTCCCCTTCAAGCTCTTTGCAGACCAGCTTCAAAGCCGGCACAGTCCGGCCTTGCCTCGTGATGATGCGATTGATTGAAGGCCTTCTTCGGCGCATTCGGGACAAGATTGGGCTGGCAGAGGACGTTCTGCGGACGCCATGGCGGAAGGCCTGGCCCACCCGTAACAGCGCCGAAGCCCAGACTAGGGGATTTCGAGCCGAGGCCCAATCGGGGCAGCCCTGCGGCGTGGGTTGAGAGCAGGCGTGGGCAGGCGGAGCGAGTGGCATTGGCCGAAGGGCGCTCGAGCCTCTCTGCAGAGCGATGGACATAAGGTGTGTGGGGCTTCGATCCCAGCTAGGGGGTGTGCGACTGGGAGTGCGCATGCTGAGATGGTGAGGTGTGGGCGACGACAAGGGTGTGGGGGTGAGCTGATCAAGGAAAGTCGGAGGGGAGTGGGAACGCCAAATCTTGCATCGTCCTTGCATCCTCCCCGGTGCCACGGCACAGACGACGTGGGGCGCTCATCTCACGTTTTAGCGTCCCCAGGACGGCCCGCTTTTGGCATGCACATGGAGACGTCAGTCCAACCAATCAGGGCTGCATCTCCCGACTTCATGTCTTGCGCAGCGACGGCCAGCGCAGAACCCGACAACATTCGTGTTGGCTGACCGTCGAGAGATTCGCGGACCAGGGATAGGGCCAATCGCGGACAAGCCGTGCAGTACCCGCTGGTTGCCGGCGGCATGGGCGGTCTGTTGGGCATCGGACCGTGGCTCCTTGCGAAGGGAGGCATTGGCTCTGCAGTCGTGTCCATTTGAGGCAGCTGCGGCATGGTCTGGAATTCTGTGAGGAAGAGATATAAAGGGCTGGTGCTGATGGCGAGATTCCCGGATCCGAAGACCATCAAACCTCACTTTTACCACAAATCGCATACCTTACACTCTACCCGCAAGCCAGCACAAGATCGAAGGCGAACGAAGCCGAAAGGATGGACCGCTACCCCTGCGTCAACAGATACAAGCACGGCGTCGACTGCCCCGGCTGGTTGAACGTCCACGGTGCGCGGTGCGAAGACTGTGTTGTCGTAAGTCCCACGCCCGATCATACCCAAGGCTTACTGACCCTGGACAGTACAACCGGTAGACGTGAGGGGTCTAAGGTGGTGGTGTAACGCGATCGACGGAGCCAAGGGATGGGCGGAAAGCACCTGCAGCAACTTGCTTAGACAGACCGGAGATGATTCTCCCTTGAATTGACTCTGTGTACCCCTATTGTGTGTTTGATGTTCCCTCTGCCAGGTCCATGCCCCTGGGGGTGCTACGTGCGAGTGGCTGTTCTCAGGTCTCCCAATGCTGACTGACTGTAGTCCGCCTCACAGCCTGCCTCGTAGTCTGCCTCGTAGCCTGCGCGTTGCCTGCGCGTTGCCTGCTCGCAGCGATGTCGGACGTGCGAACCATCGCGGACGCCTCTCATGCGAAGCATAAAATCGTGCCATGCCCAGACGATGTCCAAAGAGTCGTTGTCCTTCTATTTCACACAACAAGCACAAAACCAAC